CTGCAAAGGCCCATTATTACAGAAAGAGACAGAGACTTAAATTGTCTTATTGCAATATTCAATCATAATTGAATAACTGCAATATTCAATTATGCCTGGCCGCATGGAACCCAGAAAGACATACAAATGCATACAGATGTGCGCTGCATGTGGTGTGTGTGCTTTGGAAGCTTATTTACAATTATTTGTGCATTCTGTTGCCTCATTTGCACAACACTGCCATTCAACACAAGGGTGATGAGTCCTCATATGGAGATTCAGGCCATGCAATCCTAATGTAGGATCATGGCCAGAGGGTCTAGTTTTGTTGAGACCAATGAACTGATTTAGGCCAAGGGGTGGGAATCAATCCATCAATCCATCAATCGCCAATCCATCAAAATGGCTCAGCCATCCGTATTGGACTTCTTGGCGTGCTTTCTCTACCCTGCCTCTTAGTAGGAGACTCCCGATGCCTTGATGTTGAAGTGGTGGGAAAGGAAAGTTGCATAGGTCTGCAGCCCCACTCTGTGCATGGAGACCTCTTTGCCTAATGAGAATGTTGCAAGAGACAAACAGCTTCACAGAGGCTTACAACCATGAAGTTAATGGTGCGACAGATCCCCAAGTTAGCAGAGGGGTATTCTTTATTACAAGGGGAGTGCTGCAACCTTCGAAAGCGACCATGGAGGAAAGAAAGAAATCAATGCAAGCATGTTTCTCATTTCTCACAACATTATTTTTTATCTTCCTCTACAGATGCCTCTCAACACCATTATCTGGCAATTCCACTTTCCACACAGACTGAAGAAAAGGAGAGGAAAATAAAATGCTGGTTTTTTTCCTGTCACGTAGACATTTCACCACTGATTTTTCTCAACGTAAATCTGGAGAGAGGTAACAAATCCTGCCTATCAAATCTAGCAACATTTCTTTCCATCCCTAGGAAGAATCAAGAGACTGCTGGGGAGACAGGGACATACTAAGAATGGAGCTGGGGACAACGTTCACTCTTTTTCTGCCATTTTGTAGGCTCAACACAAATAGGGGTGTCAGGAGCTGAGTCTTTCAGCTTGCCTGCTATGGGTAACAGGGACCAGTTTTGCCTGCCATTGTTAAGGGCTTTGCTTGCTTACAATGTTATATGGTACTAATATTGGATGATGGGACACATAGTCCTAAGCAAATTGCTAAACCCATGGTGGCTAAAGAGCGGAAGGGAAGGGAAGGGAAGGGAAGGGAAGAGAGACTGTGCAGGTAGCTCCAAGGTGTCAAATTCAGCAGGACTCCAAGTGCAGAAAAACAGACCTCAGTAGTTCAAACTCAGAAAACTTTTATTAAGAAATTATAGAACCAATCCACTGACTTTCATTGTCAGAACTAACCAACAAACATTACAATTGCCTAATTAAATCACACACAATTTCAAACTTTAGGTAGGCTTAATTCTTATTCTTTATAATGAATAAACACTTTTCTCTTCCCGTTCCCAGTCACTCCTTTTTCTTTGTGGTTAGAGCCAGATGCTTCCACACAAATGACCTCAAGGAAGCTCCCCTGCTTTCCTATATTATCTCAACCCGCATGTCTCAGCTCACCTTTCCAAACCCTACCATCACTACTATATATCCCATCACCACATAACCCAATGTATTATGGCAGGGCAAAAGCATATGCAACTCCTGACCCAAGATCAGTCTCCTGAGAATGGATGGAATGGGGGGAAAGGAGAGAAAAGGGGAAAGCAAGCCTGTTGGATTTTATGGGTGAATCAGCCCACTCACAATTGGAATTATTGTATGGGGCGGACAGGTGTTTTGTTTTTTTAAAGTTCAGGAACTAATTTTGCTGTATATGAAGAAGGGAAGATTCTGGTTGCAGACCTGGAGATTTGAAGCAACAGTATATATTTAAGGGTACTTTTGAGAAAATATTTACAGTACTCTGAGCATTCGTATTCTTAGATTGGAGAAATGGGAAGTCAATCTTGTTTGTATTTGTTGTATTATTTAGATTGTGTTGATCATGAGTACAGTGTTATCGTTTTATATTTATAGTTTTAAATGGGATGGAATTGGAGAGATAGGGGTAGCTTTGTTCTTTTTGGGTTAGGTTGGTAGTGTGGAGGGTTAGAGATTTAGGGACTCTATAGATGGCCCTTTGCGCCGTCTTGGAGGCAGGGAAGTCACGCCGGCCACCCCACCTCTCCCCGAGGACATTTTGATGGCGTGTGCCGTTACGCATGGCACACGCCATCAGAACGTCCTCCCGGCACAGCATCTTGACACACTGTGCAGGTAGAGACGCAGAAGAGTCACACAGTGACTCCTGGGGCGCCCTATTTGCCAGTTCTGAAAAGAGTGGCATTTTGCCACTCTTTTCCGGGCCGGCAAATGGGATAATTGCATGCTACCACATGCAGTGGCCCCAATCCTCTGCTTCCTGGGGTGGCCCAGGGCCACCCATCTGCATCCCCCCCTTAGATGCTATGTGTGTACTGAATGTTTTTATTTTCATTTTTGTATGTATTTTTTAAAAAAAATAGTAAAAATATATTAAAATAATTATTCTATGGTTTCTTTGTGGGTTTTTTCGGGCTGTGTGGCCATGTTCTAGAAGAGTTTCTTCTAGATGCTGGCCATGAAAGCCTACGACTTCACAATTATTCTATGCTTACACCATGTTAATGCTGGTTTCTTAATCCTGACAACATATATCTGCTGGAAACATCTTTGGTTTCCTGGTTGACTATCAAGGCTTGAATTTCTGAAGTAAAGTAACCTTTTATACCACAAGGGAACTCCTAGCCAGTGATCATCACCAGAAAGAAAAAGTCCACTCTCTATCTCTGCAAAGTGAAAGGGAAGGAGAACTCCCTAGAAACAATGGTCAAGATACTCCATCTGCATTGCATAGCATAAACCCTGCATGCAAAGCCATGCACAGGTTGTACTGTGTAATTCTTCTCTTTCACAGTATTGAGGTCCAACTGAACACATAAACAGGGGCATAAATGAGGGCGCTGCCCAATACCCAATATGAATCCTCCCCTCTCCCCTGAAATTTTCATTCATTCCCACATTTCTAGCATTGCAGAGAGCAAGTCATGGGAAATCAATGGACGTTTCTATTTGCTGTGTTCACCTTCCTTCCGCCACTTTGTCTGATCCTTTTCTTTGGTTGCCTAAACTCTTCTTTCTAAATGCTCAACTGAAATTTGATGATCTGGCAATGCTTGAAAGTTTAAGAACTGAAGGGAAATTTCCCTGAGAGTTAGAATTCTTATCGAAGAGGTGTGATGCCCTAAATTTCTCCTCTCTGTAGGTGTACCCTTATGCATACCCAAATGTGTAACTGAATGCAAAACTGAATGCAAGTGTTCATCTATGTACAATAGCACTGCATGCACAACTCTGTTTCTCCACCAGAAGCATTATTTTTTCCACCAGACAAAAATGTCCCACAGCTTCTGCAGCACAACTTATCCACATAACACTGCGATCTAACAACTTCCCCATCTCCCCACCAAATTCCATGGACATCACCCAGTCCCAGGGTTTCTCTTCCTGGGGAGGTGATTTATCTATAGAAATTAGTTGCCATTCCTCTTGTCCTGAACAGTTTAGGAGAATAATAAGATGTACAAAATAATATAGACCATTAAAATCCACTTTTCCAGTCCCAGCCTGAATTCTGGACAAATCAGTGAGAAAGATGAGAAGCAAGGTTTGGGGAATGAGAGGTGGAGAGAGAGCGGGGAGAGAAAACCAAGAAGAAAACAAGAGAATAAAAATCATTCTTCCCAGTGTATGCAAGAAATTATAATCACGGGATGGCGCAATGTTTTACAGCACAACATGATCTGTCAAATCCCAAAGGCACACTCCGCCATTTCATATGTTCTAGGAGATTTATCTTCTTGTAGGAGTAAGCATACTTGAACACACTCTTTGCACTGTCCAAGAAGTCCATGACTTATTTCACCAAGCTTGACTTTCTTCCAACCCCACGACCTTCCAGAGTAACTGGCAAAAGGCATTAATATATCAGCATAATCGGCTAGCGTGTGACTGTGATATGAAAGATGAAGATTACCTCGCGCTTCAAGAAACCCGTCCAAGATAAAGGTTGGCTTGGGAAGCTAATTTCCAAGAAGGAAGATACCCAAGAGCCCACTCTACGGAAGATGGAAAGGTCGTGATGGGAGAGGAATGCATTGCAAAGTACTTATGGGAAAGGGGGAATTATTATCTGTGGGACATGATAGGCTCGGGATTCTCAACTGTCAGCATGAGATCAAGTTTCTGAAAGCAAATGTCACTGGCTCGCTTGCCAGAAAGTTATCCCAGAAAGATAACACAGTCAGTTCCTCTGTTTGTACACAGCCGTTCTGGAGTTTTCTATTTTGCTAGCATGTTGCTGATGCTGTTGTGTGCCTTCAAGTCATTTCCCACTTTACAGGTGGCCCTATCATTGGCTTTCTTGGTAAGATTTTTTTCAGAGGAGGTTTGCCCTTGCCTTCCTCTGAGGTTGAGAGAGAATGACTTCCTCAAGGTCACCCAGTGGGTTTCATGGCTGAGCTGTGAATCAAACCCTGGGCTCCAGAGTTATAGTTCAACACTCAAACCACTACGTCACGCTGCCATGCATGCCTTCATGACCAACTTTGATAATTCTAAACCTAACTGTAGGATCTCCTGTGAGGATTAAGGATTATTTACTAGAACTTGAACTCACATCTATTACTGTGCAATTATTGTCCCATTTTTTCATAACTTCTTCAGTACAGTATTCCAGCACAAACCCCACTCTGGAAAAAAGGCAGAATAAAAATGATGATGATGATGATGATGAACTGTTGTATTGCTTGTCAGCGGTTATCACTGTATTTTTTTCATGTTTTGGTTCTTCTTAGTAGCAGGTTGAGTCTCCCTTATAGCCTGAAAGTAATTTTCTATATAATAATCTAAATGATTTTATGCATAAAACAAACTCTGTTATTGTTTTCTTTTGGTCTTTTTTTGGGGGGGGGGCATCTTTCTGGTTGGGAGACACTTATTTCATGTATGAGTCTTTCTCATGACCACAGATCTATTCCTCCCAAGACATAGTGTTCTTATTTATTTATTTATTGGATGTATATCCCAACTTTGCCTATTATGTTGAGCAACTAAAGAAGGCAGAAGCCAGATATTTTACTAATATATGTATAACATTCTTGTTCATCAATATTGCTTTGCTTAGACCTCACCAGGGATACTGTTTCCAGTTCTGGGCACCTCAATTTAGCTGGAGCGTGTCCAAAGGAGGGCAACCAAAATGGTGGAAGGTCTGGAAACCACTAAGCCCCATGAGGAATGGCTCAGTATGTTTAGCCATGTTGGTTCCTACCAAAGCCTAATGAAGACAAAAAATAAACCTTTTAGTGCTGCTGGAGAGGGATTAACATCTGACCACGACACAGACTCTACAACCCATTGTCCTTGTGATAGTGGTCCCCCTCCACTACAAGACCACCACATCTTTTCAGAACAAAGCCCACCAGTATTTCACTACTTAGCACCCAGCTAACCCCACTGAATCCCATTTTCAGAGAAAGGCGTGATGTAAATCCAATAAATACATAAATAAATAAATAACCCAAGAAACAGTGTAGTGTAGTAATTTGAGCATCGAATTATGACTCTGGTAGGACCCAGTGTAGAATTGTGGTTTGAGAGATTGACTATGACTCTTGAGACCAGGGTTCACATCCCCACTCAGCCATGGAAACCCACTCAGGGACCTTGGGCAAGTCACACACTCTCAGCCTCAGAAAACCCTGTAATAGGTTCATTTTATGATTTCAGTAAGTCAAAAATGACCTGAAGGCACAGCTACTACTTGTTGCTGTTGCGTGTCTTCAAGTCATTTCTGACTTATGGCAACCCTAAGGCAAACCTATCATGTGGTTTTCTTGGTAAGATTTATTCAGAAGAGATTTGCTGTTGCCTTCCTCTGAGGTTGAGAGCATGTGACTTGCCTAAGATCACCCATGGGTTTCATGGCTGAGCTGGGAACTGAACCCTGGTCTCAAGAGTCGTAGGCTAGCATTCAAACCACTAAGTCATGCTGGGTCTCCAACTACTAGTAGTATAGTACTACTATATCTATGATTCTATACTAGTATTACTAGTATGACTCTGGAGGCCAAGGTTCAAATCCCCATTCAACCATCAAAACATTGGTTAAATGACACTCTCTCAACCTCAGAGGAAGGCAAAGGAAGGCCCCCTCTGAAATAATCTTGCCAAGCTAGGTTTGCCTTACACCCTAAGATGGAAACTACTTTGAAGGCACACAAAAACATCAACTGCAAAATTTTCCCCCAAAATCCAGGTGGCCTTACTGTCTCCACCCCGCCATACATCTTTACAGGATATAAATGAAATATGTAACATAAAAACAAGAAAAAAATATATCAGGCACCTTCACAGCCATGGAAACAACCCCAAAGCCAGGCTGCTACCAGAACAAAATAAACATATCACGAGTCTGTATTTTCATTCCTCTGTGGCAGACAAATCCAAAACATGAAGGAAATTAAGAGAGAGAGAGAGGAGATGTGAATATATTGGAACCTAACTGAGTAGAAGAATGGGATAAAATCCAAATGGATCCCTTCCCAGATTTATTGACAAGACATTAAACATCTCAGACCGCAACGCAGAGGAAGAGAGCTGGCAGAAAGCACTAGACTGAATACAACACACTAAATACTGGGAAATTGATAAATTAAGATTATTTGACGTTTTGAATAGAACGTTGTGGCTGCTTTGGCTCTTTGCATTATATAGTAGTCCTCAGGTGGGTGTAGATGGGCTAGTTTTTGCCCATTGGACCCTACAGGACCTAAACAGACTCCTAAAAATGCCCAGACACAAAACAAAACCCATCTGGAAGCGGTTGGAGGTTCTAGGACCCACCCAAAGTAGATCTAAATCCCCAGACCTTCAACTTCACCTCCTCGACCATACAACCAGGATACATACAGTCCCAATGAAGTCAAATATCTGCAGGCAAGAGAGGATCACCTTTTTGCAGTACTAGATATCTTCCTTTTCCAGGACATGTCCTACATTTCCACCTTCTGTCCAGGAGGAACTCCAAAAGGTCTTCCGTTTGGAGCATGACAAAGAAGCATGAATTTATATTTATATTAAAGTTTTTAACTTTCATTTGGTAATACCCTGCATATTCTTCATGTAGACATTTTGTGGTGTCTTGTCTTCCTTTGTGGTTAGGACATCTGGTCACCCTTTTTTCCAAGTATGGCGGCAAGCCACCTTCAAGAGATGGGTCTTGGAAATGATCAAGAACAGGTAGATGATAAACTACTTACAGTTCCCTCCTCATCTTCCTGTGGTCTCACCTACATCAAGGAAAGCACTCCTTTCTCAATCAGGCCATAGCCCACCTTCTCAACATTTGAGTGACTGAGCTATGCCAAAAGTTCTTGGGGGGGGTCCTACTTCATTTTCCTTATAGTGTCAAAGAAAGATGTCAAACAGAGTGTTGTTGTGGATCTAAAAAGGGTGAATGACAGTGTGAGGGCAAGAAGGTTCAGGATGAAATCCCTCAGGTCTATCCTACGCTTCCTCCATCAAAGGGACTTCCTTCCTCTCATCCTTGGATCTCCAGGAGGCATAGCTTCATATCTCAGTTCATGTCAGACGTAGGTAATTCCATTCCTTTCTTCTGTTGTCCTCTTGGCTATGCGACTGGATAAGGAACTAGATGGTTGTTCTTCCACAGGAGGAGGCAGCTTGAACCTTACTGGTCTTTCTGATTTTTAAAAAATGGGTCATTTTTTAATGTTACACAGTGCAGGGAGACAACGAATCAACTCTCATTTACCCCATCCTTGTTTTTGCCCAGAGAAAAAGAGCAGTCTAGAGCAGGGGTAGGCAACCTAAGGCCCAGGGGCCGGATGCGGCCCCCCGAGGCCTTTGGACCAGCCCCAGGCCGGTCCTGCCGCCGCCACCGCCCCCCGCCATGATGATATTGATTATTGTTGTTATTACTTGTCCTTGGGGTTTTCTTGGCAAAAACTCCACAGGGGTTTTGCCATGGCTTTTCTGGGGCTGAGAGAGTGTGCATGCATATTTTTAAAAAATATTTATTTATTTATTTATTTATTTATTTATTTATTTATGGTGCTTCGGCCCCCCAATTGTCTGAGGGACAACAACCCGGCCCCCGGCTCAAAAAGGTTGCCTACCCCTGGTCTAGAGAATCTGAAGAAACTTGGATGGATAGAGATGGGAGGTGGGGAAAATAATCAAAATTATTCCCCCCAAAATGATTGAAAAATATGTGTTGTTTTTATGTTTTGGAAGACCCTGATGAGGAAATTTCTAGATTGACAAGAAATTTCACAGATTAGGAAATAATTTGCAACCACTTTTTATGGACAAAAATAGCCTTCTATGCATAAGAAACAGCATTTTTGGCACACACAAAAAAAAAAAACATTTTCTGAACCAAAAATAGAAATTTTGCTCATGATAAATCTTGAACCATGAACAGTCTTCGAAAAATGCAGAATTTTTGCAGAATTTCTCCCAGTGGGAAAAAATTGCTAAAATTGCCTATCTCCATTGAGAATAAAACAAACAAACAAATGAACAGACAGGCAAACTTTGTTTCTGCAACCTTAAACTAAATGTGGACATTCTGCATAGGACAATAATGTCCACTTCCATCTGGTAACCTCCATATGTCACCAACAGAGAGAGAGCCAACATGGCAGAATGGTTTGAATGTTGGACAATGACTCTAGAGCAGAGTTTGATTTCCAGGTCAGCCACAAAACCCACTGGGTAACCTTGGGCAAGTCACACTCTCTCAGCCTTAGAGGATAGCAATGGCAAACTCCCTCTGAAGAAATTGGCCAAAAAAGCCCCACGATAGGTTAGAATCATAGAGTTGGAAGAAATCACAAAGGCATTCCTGTCCAACCCCCTGCCATGCAGGAACTCTCAATCAAAGCATCACTGACAGATTACCATCCAGCCTCTATTTACAAACCTCAAAGGAAGGAGACTCCACCACTTTCCAAGGGAGCATCTTCCATTGTCGAACAGCTCTTACTGTCAAGGAGTTCCTCCTAATGTTGAGCTGGAATCTCTTTTCCTGTAGCTTGCACCCATTGCTCCATGTTCTAGTCTCTGGAGCAGCATCCATCCTCAATGTGACACCCCTTCACAAATTTAAACAGGGCTATCATATCACCTCTTAACTGTCTCTTCTCCAGGATAAACATACCCAGCACCCTAAGTCTCTCCTCATAGGGCCTTACGGTTTCCAGATCCTTTACCATTTTGGTTGCCCTCCTTTGGACATGATCCAGCTTTTCAACATCCTTTTTGAATTGTGGTGCCCAAAACTGGACACAGGATTATTCCAGGTGAGGCCTGACCAAAGCAGAATAGAGTGGCACTATTGCTTTTCTTGATCTAGACGCTATATTTCTACTGATGCAGACTAAAATTGCATTGGCCTTTTTAGCTGCTGCATCACACTGTTGACTCATGTTCAACTTGTGGTCCACCTGGATTCCTAGCTCCCTTTCACACGTAAGTGTGTTAAGCCAGGTGTCCACC